CATTGGCCCATTGCAGCATCTTTTTTCCCAGTCTCATGCCCCCTACCCCTCAAGTCTTCCATGGAGAGGGAGGGTAAGCCTGTAGTTACTTACCACTTCATGCATTGCTGTTAGGTGCAGGGAATCATACTTGCATGCCAAATACAGAAATACCTCCTCTTGAAAGAATATTCTAATCAGAGGTTGCAAGGTGGCTCTTTGTTGATAACTAAGAAAAGGTAATAACTGATTTTCCAGAGTCTGCATCTTTAAGGAAAAGGAACTGTACTGTACAACTTGGTTGGACTCCAGGCACAAGAGGAAATGGGTTATAGCAGTTGTGACTGTGTGGAGCAGATGTTTTGGTTGGACTGGCTATCAACCATCTGACTCATAATAAATTGTCAGTTCCAGTAAATTCCCAGTTTCCAATTACAGTAGGTAGGATACGAGAAAACAATGCTGTTTGGATTGTGTATTTAAAGTGGTTTTGATGATGATTTTCTTAAACAACTCATACTAACTTTATAAAATGATTAAATATTTTGCAAAGGGAGCAGCTGTAAACACTGAAGCATGCATTTGAATGTAAATTTAGACTGATATGGATGAAAACTAATGAATGGATGTTTAGACAGTGCTGATACAATTAGAAGTTTTAAGTTTTACTTTGGAGTCTTGTGATACCTGGAGTCTTTTCCTCAGTTTTTTGGGGGGAAGAAGAATTTCTGAATGTCTTCGAACTTTCATTTTCATCTGTTTTGTGCAGCTGTTGTATTTTCATATGACATTTTGTTCTTGAGTTTCAAAACTACATATTTAATGTATCTTTTATCTGCACTGGCTAAGTAAACAAACGATAAATTAGAATAAAATACGATGAGCTTTCTCTACACTTTTTCTTTGTGAAAAGTTTTATTTATTCTTCTAAGTTGTTGCTAAAAGTTCTCTGCAATGGGAAAAAAAAGCGTATGGGTTGAAAATATTTAGTTTTTTTTATTTTGTTCCTTTCTCAACACATTGCTTTATTATATGTATTTTGCATTTCCACAGCGCTTTGGAGATTTAATCAAGGATCAGTCCACACTGTGCTAAGTGCTCTGTAAACACAGGAAACCCCTTGCAGATCTTGAGAAAGTTCTTGAGGAAGAAAACTATTTATTTTCAGTGTTAAATGTTATATCCATTTTTTTTCTGCCTGATTTGAATGAGCATTTTCTGAGATGAGGAAAATATTTATTTTTTTTTTAAGAAGGAAATATGTGATAGCAAAATGGTAGAAAGTCATCATGAAAATCTGTGTTGGATCTTTTACATTGCAGTGTGCTCGAGGGTTTTTTTTACTATCAAGCATGAGACTGTTGTGGAAAAACTAATAGGTGTGCATTATCACATGTGTAACTAGTGATTTCAAACATTTATACAAGCATTCAATTTTTAAACCTCAAAATTCCTGTGGCCCAGGATGTGCTCTGCGTTCAGTGGAATTTCAGTTTAATAATACCTTCTGTAAGGTCTTGTGTGGAAAAAGTTCTGTGAGTGTACAATGGTACTTTAATGTGGCAGTTCTAACCTTGGATAATGTTTATAGATAATTGCCATTTTTAATTTTCACAAAATTACTTTTCCTTAAAGATAAAATAATTTTAAAAATAAAATCCTCTAACATTAACTGTTGTGAGTTAAACACAAATTATGAGAAGGAACATGGCTACTTAAAAAAATGTGTTGTGACTTGAGTCAGCCTCTTTTATTCCTAATAAAAGGCTTTAATATTGCCAAAGTGATTGCATGTCGCTCTCTCTTTTGAAGCCAACTGAAAAATAAAAATAGAGGTGATTTTTGCTTTCCTGCTCTGTTTAAATCTGGCCTGTTCTTGGCGAGAAATACGCATGCTGAAATGGGAAAGGGGAGGACGCTGCCTGGGCAGAGTTTGATAAGAACCATTAAAACAACCTTTGCTTTTGGACGCCTTGGTGTAATGGAAAGAAATGTCATTGGGGCAGTATATGAGGAAATGTCATTCCCTGGTAACACAAGGATCCATCATCTCACATAGTTGCTCAGGTTTGTAGAGATGACCAGGAGAGAGATCACTGAAGGAGTTAAGTTGTCACTGGCACAGACAACATCATAAAGGTCTATTAGTTTAAAAGTTTTCCATAGTTTATCTGTAAGACATGTGGTTTTGGTTTAGTTTTATTAATGGCAGTTGTAGCAGACATACTGGGGCTGAATGCAGTTCCACCAAGCAGATTCTTGCATAAATAGAAGTAACCAAGTTGGAAAGGAATAAACAGTGTGGTGTCAGATACAAAAGGACTTCATCATAAATCCGTGGCCACTTGAGCAATAAGGTGGAGCAGCTTCATGGTGTTACTGTATTACATCTTTTTAAAACCTACAGGAATGCTGATTTTTTTGCATCTTTTTAAAGTTACAGTTTTCACTTCTCAGGTGTGAAGGCTGAAAATACTCATCCATTTGCAAAGTGGTAGAGAAGAATGCTAATTTCTGTACTCAAGCTTGCATTGCATAGCTCTATGAACATAATGCAGTGCTGTGCTGTCAACAGTAGTTGCAGTAGTGTTCGTTGTGTGTTATTTTTGTAAATGAAAAATATCACATCTCAATTTATTACTCTTACTGCACACATCAGTTTATTGCAGTTTAACATGCAAAGATGCCACGATGATTTGTGGTGTAATGTAGGGTTTTAACCCTGGCATAAGTCTTCGTATTAAAGAAGCCACTAGTGAGAGCAGAAAATATAATCCAGTATTACTGTGTGAGTTAATGGATGCTGTAATGGTGTTCACCTATTCTGTTTGAGGGATTTTTTTTTTTTCCCCGTTGTGGTGGTTTTCTTTGATCCGTAAGCACCTGGATGGTATTCTAGAAACTGCTCTTATGGATGGTGGCAGTCTGTGCGCATCAACTTAAGCTCTAATACTAAATGCAAGATTAAATATATTTGGTTTTGTCCATGTAGCTTTTAAAGTGTATGTAGGTAAAAGCAAATTATTTGAAAAGAGTTACAAACAGAAGAATGTGGTCTTGGAAGAACTGTATTTGTACACAAGTTAATGTGTTATATGTGCTTGTCATCTCTTGAAGAATGCCCATTAAAATAAAATCTTTTTGACCATTAACATTACTGCTTAATCTGTCTTAATAGTTCTTTTCATTTGGTTTACAATTAGCAAATTAATGGGAAAAAGCCCGTAAATGCCATACTCAGCTTCAGGAGTGAAAGCTGTTCCTTATTTAAATTTTTCCTTAATGATGGAAATAGATGAAATAGTGGGGCAGAGGTTGAGGGAGGATTGCACTCTTGGGTGTTTTTGTTGTTGTTGAAGAAGGTTTTGTAATCTCTGCTGGTTCTGCTGCTGTAGATGATAATACCACTTGGAAACCTACCACTGAAGGGAACACTGTGCGTCACGAGATCCTGTCCGTTGCTGTTACAGACAACCGTGTCATAGAATCCTACCGATAAACTGATCATACTCCCAACAGGACAGCAGCTCATTTTTGTCCTCACCACTCATGGAATGTTGTTCTGCAACTTCAGGTTAAAACGGTGTTTGGATTTCCAGCTGTAGTGTGCTCATGACCATTTTATAGGCATTTCTAAGAGTAGACTTTTCTTTGAACTGTCAGAAGTGAGCTGCACACCAAGGCAGAATTTGAGAAAACACTCAGCTCAGTCTCATTTTTCATCTAAGACAGTCAGGCCTTTTTAAGACCCATTCTTCCCCACAGCTTATCACTAAGTTTCTTGGCATGTTGTGTTCTGCACGTAATAGCTGGTATGCAGCTTGTCTCTCTGGACGTTAACAGTTTCGGGCCTGCCAAAGCTTCCAATGGCACGAGATTGTCTTCCTGAAACCACTCAGCAGACAATTACTTATAATTTTTTTTTCCTTTCCAGATAGGGCAGGATCTGGTAACAATGTTTAAGCGGTTTCCATGTTCCTTCCTCACAGCTGCTTATGGGACGGAGCATAGCAGGGCACACTGCACGATGTTGATCCTGCCATGAGCACTTACCTGCTGGGTTATCAGTTTCCTTTCATATTTTTTCCAAAATGGATAAAAACAAATGCATCTTGGCAAGTTGCTGTGTACATATGCACAAACATGTTAAAGGACTTCTTTGTGAGCAGTGAGTGGTACCATATTTCTTGCTGTCGATGACGGGGACAGCACTGCTAACTCCTTGCTTTCTAGCTAGAGGTCAGGAGCTTAAATGAAGTTGTGTGTAGCAGAAACAAGGTTATTTGTACTGTATGTGATTTATGAATTGGAGAGATGTCAGGTCCTGGCCAGAAACAATTTGTTCTAGCTGATCTCAAAACCATAGCTGATTGTTCTGATATAAAGGAAGCTTAAACTATGAATGCATTAAGATGGACTGTTGTGGTGTTTAACATTTTCTTACGGTAGCTTTTATAGTCAGCAGTCTTTGCTGAAAGTAATGCAGGAAACTTGGGGACAGTGACTTCTAGGTACAAATATCTGATCACAGAAATGTTTTTCATCCAAAACAGAAGTTGGAGTTGAGTACAGCAGAAATTTTGGACCATGTACTACTTTGGAAAATAACAAATATAAAATCTGTGGTCATAACTCAGTGATATTGTAACATTTAAAAAAAATATCTTTGGCATTGGCATCTGATGTCAGTGTTAAACCAAAAATTCTTACAAATGAAATCTGCATTTACTGAAATATGTAGTTCAGCTAATTGAAGAAGAGCTATGCTACTGCATGGTTGCTAATACATTAATTTTATTTTGATACTTTAAAGGAAATTAAGCATGCCAGAATATCTTTTAAGTACTAATATAGTAAGAAAGAATAAATTTGCAACTTATTTTTCAATGGTTACACTTCAGATTCCTCACTTAAGCATCTCCTAAATTAATTGGTATTTGACATATTAGTTGTTACCTGTAAGCTTTTAAGTACTCAGCTTGTTATTTGCCATTTTATATCTATTATTTTTTTATGTACAGGATGTGAATGAAGATCCTGGAGAAGATGTTGCACTTCTCTCTGTTAGTTTTGAGGATGCTGAAGCTACTCAGGTTTTTCCTAAGCTGTATCTCTCCCCACGTATTGAACAGTGAGTAACAGTTTTTTTTTCTGGGGTGTTCATTCTATTTTATCTCTGAACTTTTCAATTTCTTCCTGATACACGTGAGAAATGTTGGCTAGCTGATAACATGTTATTGCTTTAAATTGCTTAAGGTATTAATGGTTTCTCTGTGTGTGCTTGGTGGAGAAATGACAGATCTTCTTTTGGCTAGTTCTGTTTCTGTGGCTGGATCACATATGGATGAAGAAAAGTCATCACTGGCTACATGTGATATCCTTGTAGCATCATAATCCATGAAAACTCTGCTGCGTTTTCCTGTAGCAGTGTATTTTGAGTGCCTCCTACAGCATACTGACAGCTTTGGGGAGGGAGAAAATCTTTATTTTCCTTTTGGGAAAGTAAGTTCTCTGTATAAGCATGGTACATTTGACTAAAGTATTGTAGAAGCTAAAGGGCTTTATTAACTGTGTTTTAGAAATTTGCAGCTTTAGTGAGTTTCTTTTTTCAGGAGAATATCTGATTATTTCATTTTAAGATTGTTGAACCTTACTGATCTGTTTACCAGTTGGCAAACAGATTTGCTGAGAAATTAATTTCCATTCCTAAAAGAGAAGAGTGAGGATTAGAAATCAGTCTACTTTCCTTAAATTTCTTCCATTTCTGGAATTAAGACTATCTTAATGCTCTTCCTTCCCTTCAGTCTTATAATGTCTGCTTCAAATAAATAACTACATTAGACTGTTAAGGTATACGACAGCCAAGTTGGTCTAACATTGTTTCAGCGATGCTTTGTTTTTCTAGTTAATACCGCAGTGACTTTCCTCTGAACTGGTGATGACACTTCTGAGTAGAGAACAAAAGATGGGAAATACTGACTACCACAGTTTTATAATAACTCAATGATAAAGTTTGTGTGCGTGAAGGAACATGATATCTTGACATTTTGCTCAACAGGGCATTGGTCTGCATAAACTGATGAGTGCAGTTTAAAAAACAAAAACCAAGATTTGGTTTAGATAAAGGTGTAGGACTTCCCAGATATTTCATTTAAGAAAATGTAGATTACACATGCATGTGGAAACACACACACAATATATTTAGCAGCTGTTATATTTTCATATTTTTTTATCAGTTCACTGCTTTTTGTCAACATTGGTTGGGGGAATAATTGTAGTCAAATGTGTAATTATCCTGCCTTGTTCCAAAGGATCCTTCTGTTCAGCTGCTGTTAAAAGCCAATGGGCTGTCACTAGTTTGCATTGTATTTTCAGCTCTAGTCACGTGTTGATTCTTAAGTGTATTTCAGGCCACCCAGATATGTCTGTCTGAATGACCCATGTGCTAATGAATACATTGCTTGTTTTCCGACTTTCAGTAGTATCTCTAGAAAGATGTTAACCTTTTGATACCAAGCAGCATATAGCAATACAAAGGAACACTTTTTCTTCCTAGAAGTATTGTGTTTTCTGTTAGTGCTCTGAAGAATATCAGATTTTAGATGTGTGATGTAGAGCAATATAGCAGAAAGCTATTTGGGTGGTGGTAGTACAAATCTGACATGTCTGATGTATTTATGGCTTTGTCATTTATAGGTTATGTAGTCATGTTAAAATCATGCCAGTAAACCCTGGAGTTCCATGCCACACATTGTCACCTTATCTGTGTATCAGAGTTGAGGTACTTCACTGGTGTAGCTTGATCTGTCCTCATGTGTTTGTAAGGCATTCATCACAGTGTCTAGATACTGGTAACCCACAATCCCAGAGCTGCTTGTGAGCTGTTGCATCTTCCTTTATTCTACTGGCTACTTTTTATGTGCTGTGAAAAACTGCATGGGTGTGTTTTCAGTGTTTGTTCAATCGCGCTTTAATTACAAAGATATAATTATCTCTTGGTCTTTCCCAAAACCAATTTCTACTCTGTTTACCGGGATCTGACAGTCCTAGATATTTAACTTTCCAATGTTTGGGAACTGAAGCAACAACGTGTGCTTCTTTCTACTTTTTGCCAAAAGTACAAAAAGCCTCAAGAAGCCCTGAGGATTAGTTTAATGACTTGAGGCCATGGCATGTTACATTTGAATTGTGTTCTGCTTATAAAAGTCCTTTCCTGCTGCTAACAGTAATTGCATCTACAAAAGCCATGTAAGCAAATTACCAGTGTATTTTTTTTTATGCAGCAGATTTTGAGGTGGAGTAAGTAGTAGTTGACAGTTCCCAACATAACATTCCCAAGTACTCAACAAAACAGAAAAAATACCAAATTCCCACAGTTATTTTGCTAATACTGAACTCTCTTCACCTTAGGAAGTCCAAGCAAACAGGAACAGCATTTTCCTGATGTATGAAAAAACATTTTCAGATAGAAATGTTTCAGCTTCGTAGAGAAATAAGAGCAAAAGGCCTGTTTGTGTAACGTGAGTTATCTCCTGTTTTCCCAAGAGTTTTCATTGCTTTTGTGCTCTACCATGTAAACATGCATTTCCACATTGCATATTCTAAAAATGGTGCATACCCACAGATCTTGTCAGCGAATTTGAGCCCTAGCAATATGACTGTAGTGTTTTTGCTTTGAAGAGTTACTGTAAAGCACATTTGCTCTGTCTTTAGATGGATGGGAAACTTAATACTAGTAAGACTTTGCTCTTTGTCATAGACTCTGGAAGAGAGATTTGCAAAATGAGGGAAATGTCCACTTTTTCTGGTTTCGTACTAAAACGTTAGTACATCAGTTGGCTTGAAAAAGCTCACATATTAAAGCAAGGAGTAAAAATGGAAAAGTGGAAAAGTGGCTCATTCAAGTTAATATTGGTGATCCATTGACTTGTGTGTTGTGGTGTCTGGCTGCAAGAGTGTCAAGTCCAGTTCTTGCAGTAAAAAAGAACCCCGCACTTAGGGATGGGAAGCATTTGTGTTAGTTTATAAAAATCTCAACAATAATTATTCATAGCTGTATCTGGTTTAAGTCTTTCATTAAAACTTGCTAATTTAAAAACATTCCTTTAAATACTAATTGTTCGAAACACATTAGCAATTTCTAGTTAACGTTTCCTTAATTGGAAATCAATCACTTAAAAAAGCTTTCATTTTATAATTTTAAGAGTTCTTATTCTTTACTGTACTGCATCAATAAGCAGATAGATGCCAATAACAGTCACTTTTAATGAATTCAAAAATTACATTAAGTTAAAATGAAATTAGGTGTATTTATGATGTGTTTTGTTTAAAAAGTACCATCATAACTGTAGTATCATAAAAAGTATCTGCACACTTCCAGAGGAAGTGTTAAGCTGGGAAACCCACAGACTGACCACCTAACTTGAGAGGATGGTGAGTGTGTGTCCCCAGGACATGCCACTGTCCGCAGGATGCTCTGCATCTCCCACTGGCTGCTGTGCTTTGGAGAGAGGATCAGAGAGCTGAGCAGTGCCAATACCTGAGGCCCCTCAGTTGCTCAGCCACCTGACCTCCTCCTGCTGCTGGGCAGACACAGACATATTCTGAGGCTGCATCTACCCTCCTCTGCATGGCAAGGAGTTGCTGGGATATTTACCTCTTATGGCTCTGTTACATTTCCTTGTGTTATTTGTAATGTCTCTAAACCTGTCAGTAGAAAGCATCTTGCTCGCTCAAAATTACCTTTCCGGTGAAAGCATACTAGATATTCGTATGGAAAGGAAATTTGTAATACAGATATCCATCCTACCTTTACTGAAAGTCCCAAGATTCTAAATCAAAGGTCAGTGTGAGATTGAACAGCTAATTTCTATATTAAGGCTTAAAATGTCTTTTAGCATACTACACATAAATGTAGATCAGAAGGGTTTGGGTTTTTTGGTTTTAAAAAAAAATATATATGAATGTATGTTGTTTTTTTTTTCCTTCATGAGTCATCCATGCTAAATAAAATAGAAATGGGTTTGTCTTGGTTCACATTTTAAGAAAAAAAAGACATAATGTTAGAAACACTGTTGTTCAGTGAATGCTGTGGTCCCTGGATTCACAGAAATAATCCCGCAATAAAAACACTGTTGTCCTGGAGGGCTTTTCTCTGATAAATATGCGGACGTGAATATGCTAAGAAAACCAGCTGTCAGTAGAACTTGTTTTGCTTAAATGGATCAGGCGCCATGCTTTGGGGACTGAAATGGTCATTTTTTACTGGTCTGGGAGCTGTGCTAGAGGGTTCTTCATGACTGAGGTTGCTATGTGTAGTTTGGTGCCTGTGTTTAACCTTCTCATATGGACAGGGGAGATTAAGGAGAACCTGGTCTGAACTCTTAGACTTTGAATGTTTCTGTATGCTTTTCACTAATAGGGGAAAAACAAAACAAAACAAAACAAACCCAGAAAAAAACAGAAGAGAAAATTAAGTGCATGTATTTGCTTTAAGGTGTTTCCTATCTTTTACCTGTCCTTTTTGCTGGCATTTAGGGGTGCTGTGAAGGGCTTCAGCTTTAAAGTTGACATGCCATATTGCTAAGTGCACATCACCAGTTGGAGCCTGCAGTTTCAGAATGATAATGAATACACAGTCTCTAAATGAGTAATCATGTTTAGGCCTTTTTATATGTCTGTCTTTATAGAAGTAAAAAGGTCTTCTATTTGGCATAATAAATGTGCTTATTCATCTGAGTTGATGATTTCAGTAGAATTGTTAGTAGACAGCTGAGACAGTCCATGGACTACTTCAAATCCCAGAGCATCTTTGCAGACATGGGAAGCAGGAACAACTGTTGCTTTGGAGGGCTTTCTCTTTATTAAGCCTAGTGCGGTCGTCCCTCTACGCAGCGCCTGGCCAGTGAGTCAGTGATTTCTCCTGCCTGCTATAAGTGCCATGTCCCCATCATCGGAATCTTCTGAAACTGTAACTAGTACCGTGGCCTGATTTCCAGTCTAGCCCTGCTTTGCAACTCTTCCTGTGTCCTAAAAATCATCTCTTTTGCTGCAGCCGTCTTCTGATGGCCTGTTGACAGCTTCAGAAGAGATCAGGGTACCAAGACTTGGATTGACAGTCAAAAGAGATTG